GATCCAATAAACTATTTTCATTGGGTGCATGACCATCGAAGGTTTTATTCATGTAAACAGAACAACAATTATTCTCTGACTTTAAATGAATAACCGTATTGCAATAAACATGATGAAATCATATTTATGCTCAACGTAAACACCAAATAACATTTATTTAGGTTTAACACTAATCCCGAAAGTATAGGGAGTGTGCGATGATGATCATATCAATCTTGGAACCACTTCCAATACACATCGTCACTTCACCCTCAACTAGTCTCTGTTTATTCTGTAACTCCTGTTTCGAGTCACTAATTTTTTAGCAACCGAACAAGTATCAAATACTCAGGGGCTACTCTAAACACTAGTAAGGTACACATCAATAACCTGTATATCAAATATACCCTTGTTCACTGTGCCATCCTTCTTATCCACCAAATATTTAGGGTATTTCTGTTTCTAGTGACCATTTCTTTTGCAGTAGAAGCACTCAGTTTCAGGCTTTGGTCCAACTTTGGGCTCCTTCACGGGAGTGACAACTTGCTTGCCATTCTGCTTGAAGTTCCCTTTCTTTCCCTTTGCCCTTTTCTTGAAACTAGTGATCTTATCAATCATCAACACTTGATGCTCTTTTCTTGATTTCTACCTTCGTCGATTTCAATATCATGAAGAGCTCGGGAATCGTTTACGTCATCCCTTGCATACTATAGTTCATCACGAAGTTCCAGTAACTTGGTGATGGTGACTAGAGAACTCTGCCAATCACTATATTATCTGGAAGATTAACTCCCACTTGATTCAAGCGATTGTTAGTACTCAGACAATCTAAGCACTTGCTCACTAGTTGAGCAATTCTCCTCCATCTTTTATCTATAGAACTTGTTGAAGATTTCATATTCTCTCAACTCGGGTATTTGCTTGAAATATTAATTTCAACTCCTGGAACATCTCATATGGTCAATGACGTTCAAAACGTCTTTGAAGTCCCGATTCTAAGCCGTTAAGCATGGTGCACTAAACTATCAAGTAGTCATCATTTTGAGCTAGCCAAACGTTCATAACGTCTGCATCTGCTCCTGCAATAGGTTCGTCACCTACCGGTGCATCAAGGACATAATTCTTCTGTGCAACAATGAGGACAATCCTCAGATCACGGATCCAATCCGCATCATTGCTACTAACATTTTTCAACACAGTTTTCTGTAGGAACATATCAAAATAAACATATGAAGCAACAACGCGAGCAATTGATCTACAACATAATTTGCAAAATACTACCAGGACTAAGTTCATGATAAATTTAAGTTCAATTAACCATATTACTTAAGAACTCCCACTTAGATAGACATCCCTCTAATCCTCTAAGTGATTACGTGATCCATATCAACTACCCCATGTCCGATCATCACGTGAGCTGGAGTAGTTTCAACGGTGAACATCAATATGTTGATCATATCTTCTATATGATTCACGCTCGACCTTTCGGTCTCCGTGTTCCGAGGCCATATCTGTTATATGCTAGGCTCATCAAGTTTAACCTGAGTATTCCGCGTGTGCAACTGTTTTGCACCCGTTGTATTTGAACATAGAGCCTATCACACCCGATCATCACGTGGTGTCTCAGCACGAAGAACTTTCGCAATGGTGCATACTCAGGGAGAACACTTTTACTATGATAATTTAGTGAGGGATCATCTTATAAGGCTACCGTCAATCAAAGTAAGATAAGATGCATAAAAGATAAACATCACATGCAATCAATATAAGTGATATGATATGGCCATCATCATCTTGTGCTTGTGATCTCCATCTTCGAAGCACCGTCATGATCACCATTGTCACCGGAGCGACACCTTGATCTCCATCGTAGCATCGTTGTCGTCTCGCCAATCTTATGCTTCTACGACTATCGCTACCGCTTAGTGATAAAGTAAAGCATTACAGGGCGATTGCATTGCATACAATAAAGCGACAACCATATGGCTCCTGCCAGTTGCCGATAACTCGGTTACAAAACATGATCATCTCATACAATAAAATTTAGCATCATGTCTTGACCATATCACATCACAATATGTCCTGCAAAAACAAGTTAGATGTCCTCTACTTTGTTGTTGCAAATTTTACGTGGCTGCTACGGGCTGAGCAAGAACCGTTCTTACCTACGCATCAAAACCACAATGATAGTTTGTCAAGTTGGTGCTGTTTTAACCTTCGCAAGGACCGGGCGTAGCCACACTCGGTTCAACTAAAGTGAGAGAGACAGACACCCGCCGGTCACCTTTAAGCAACTAGTGCTCATGGCGGTGAAACCAGTCTCGCGTAAGCGTACGCGTAATGTCGGTCCGGACCGCTTCATCTCACAAGCTGAACCAAAGTATGGCATGCTGGTAAGCAGTATGACTTATATCGCCCTCAACTCACTTGTGTTCTACTCGTGCATATGACATCTACGCATAAAACCAGGCTCGGATGCCACTATTAGGGAACGTAGTAATTTAAAAAAAAATTCCTACGCACACGCAAGATCATGATGATGCATATCAACGAGAGGGGAAAGTGTTGTCTACATTACCCTTGTAGACTGTAAGCGGAAGCGTTAGCACAACGCGGTTGATGTAGTCGTACGTCTTCACGGTCCGACCGATCAAGCACCGAAACTACAGCACCTCCGAGTTCTAGCACACGTTCAGCTCGATGACGTCCCTCAAACTCCGGTCCAGCCGAGTGTCGAGGGAGAGTTCCGTCAGCACGACGGCGTGGTGACGATCTTGATGTTCTACCGTCGCAGGGCTTCGCCTAAGCACCACTACAATATTATCGAGGTGGACTATGGTGGAGGGGGGCACCACACACGGCTAAGAGATCCAAGGGATCAATTGTTGTGTCTTTGGTGCTAGCCCTACCCCTCTATTTATATGTTGAGACCCGGGGTCGAAACATGAAGCAAAAGCCTCCTCAAAGTCGGTTTTGCCTGAAAGGCAAGAGTCCCACTCGGACTCCAGGAGCAAACGCCACAATCCTTGGCGTCTGGCCCAAACGCCATGGGCCTCGGCGTCTGCCCAGGGCCAGACGCCAGGGTCTCCGGCGTTTGGCCCCCTGGCCTCCGCAAAACTCCTTTTGCACCGACCTAAAGCCTCATGGGCTTGACCCCTTGGCCTAACCATATCATCCAATATATGAATCTTTATGTCTCGACCATTTCGAGACTCCTCGTCATGTCCCCTACCTCATCCGGGACTCCGAACTCCTTCGGTACTTCAAAACATATAAACTCATAATATAACTGTCATCGAAACCTTAAGCGTGCGGACCCTACGGGTTCGAGAACAATGTAGACATGATCGAAACACGTTTTCGGTCAATAACCAATAGCGGAACCTGGATGCTCATATTGGCTCCCACATATTCTACGAAGATCTTTATCGGTCAAACCGCATAACAACATACGTTGTTCCCTTTGTCATCGGTATGTTACTTGCCCGAGATTCGATCGTCGGTATCTCAATACCTAGTTCAATCTCGTTACAGGCAAGTCTCTTTACTCGTTCCGTAATACATCATCCCGCAACTAACTCATTAGTTACAATGCTTGCAAGGCTTATAATGATGTGCATTACTGAGTGGGCCCAGAGATACCTCTCCGACGATCGGAGTGACAAATCCTAATCTCGAAATACGCCAACCCAACAAGTACCTTCGGAGACACCTGTAGAGCACCTTTATAATCACCCAGTTACGTTATGACGTTTGGTAGCACACAAAGTGTTCCTCCGGTAAACAGGAGTTGCATAATCTCATAGTCATAGGAACATCTATAAGTCATGAAGAAAGCAATAGCAGAATACTAAACGATCGTGTGCTAAGCTAACGGAATGGGTTAAGTCAATCACATCATTCTTCTAATGATGTGATCCCGTTAATCAAATGACAACTCATGTCTATGGCTAGGAAACATAACCATCTTTGATCAACGAGCTAGTCAAGTAGAGGCATACTAGTGACAATCTGTTTGTCTATGTATTCACACATGTATTATGTTTCCGGTTAATACAATTCTAGCATGAATAATAAACATTTATCATGATATAAGGAAATAAATAATAACTTTATTATTCCCTCTAGGGCATATTTCCTTCAGTGGCCACCCTGGAGACCATTGGAGCGGTTGGAGGAGGAGCTTGGATGCGGTGGGTCTTCTTGATATCAAACTCTTCTTCAGTGCCAGCGTCGCCGCGTGGGTGATTTCCGTCGGCGAAAAGCCAACACTGGTGTCCGGCGGGGTGAGGGAAGGGGCCGTGCTATCCATTTCGGCCGGCCCGACGGTCATCTGTGGCGGTGGAGGGTTGTGGCGGTTGCGCCTGCGGGAGACAGTGCGGCGGAAGGGAGAGGTGCCACTTTTACTCGGCCGCGGCGGGATGGAGTAAGACAGTGCGCCGTAAGGGAGTAAAACATAATTTTTACTCCTTATGGCCTTTTAGGGGATCGGTTAGAAATGCCCTAATCGTGGTCTAGAACACCTAAAAGTTAAGATATCCGGGTGTTAATGTGTTCTGCACTACCAGAAGCTGAATAGACCTTTTGGCCTTTTGGGTATGACTATACCCATCGGTGGATGGATGAAATTCTTGACAGAGCAATTTGGGTTCAGTGATACGCAGGAGTTAGAAACTAACAGTATGCTTGTAGAAGTGGTTATGGAGGAAGAAGCCTTGCAAGGGCATGGCCACGTGGTATGTTTCTGCACCACTACAGAAACCCGTCAGTGGAGCTTGTTTTGGCCCGTCATTTTCAGCGTTGTTTTGCAACAGTAAATTATCAACCCTTTGTACAATGTTACAAATTAAATCAAAGCGGTTAATAATGATGCATTAGTACACGTTTGTTAGTTTCAAATATAGCAGACACATACATAGAAAACAACATTTTTAAGCTTCCAGAAGAAAAACATTTTTTAAGCAAATAGGTACGCAGAAACCACATGATACAAATTCACTATCCATAGCCATAGCTAGGCACTACAGAATAGGAAAGGTGATGCCAGCCTGCAAATAATCAACATGATCTTCATGAACTTTAACCGTAGATAGCTCATCACTGGCACGTCGTGCCGTTGGCCTGTGTGATGGACGTGACTCCAGACACTGAGCTGCAACACTGAGAATGCAGTATATTTCCCTAGTAGTTTCAGCATCTGGGAGCGCGAGCCTGGAGTCCAGCAGATCTTGCAGGCACACAACATTGTTCTTGGTGGCCAATGAGAAGGATGAGAGCAGATCACCTGGATGAGATCCCATAAATAGCTCCAAAACAAGCACTCCAAAGCTGTATACATCGCATTTCTCCGTCATGTTTTCTGTATATGCTAGCTCTGCAATTAATACAAATTAATTAGCATATATGTCAAAAGTAAACAGATATTACATCATCTACATTACTGCCAAAACTGCAAGACTAGTAATTGAGGTTATTTTTTTTTTACCTGGGGCAAGATAGCCTTTCGTCCCAGCAAGCCTTGTGAGATTCTCGCCATAAATATTGAGAATTTTAGCCATACCGAAGTCAGAGATGCAAGCTCTAAATTCTAGATCAAGCAAAATATTGTTGCTTGTTATATCCCTATGGACTATAGGTGACGAACAATCATGATGCATATATGCCAAAGCATGAACCACATCCAACCCAATATGTATCCGTCTTCTCCAATCCAATTCAATTGCCTTTTCGTTGTCCTTCGGTGTTTCTGCCAAGTCTCCTCTCTCAATATATTCATAGATAAGGAACCTGCCTTGGCCAGAGGAACAATACCCAAAAAGTTTTACAATGTTTCGATGACGAATTTGCACCAATGCCTCGATTTCACGATTGAACACCTGCTCGTTCACGCAACACTCATCTTCTACCATGTGTATCTTCTTCACTGCAAATACTTCGCATGATGCGAGTCTAGCTTTGTAGACAGATCCATATCCCCCGGTTCCTACGCAATGCATTTCGCTAAAATTGTTTGTTGCTTCAACGATTTGTTTGAACACATTTGCTCCATCAAAACTCCAAATAGAGAAGACTTTTTCTTGTGTTACTTTATCGATCATAGTTTCCTTGGTTTTCTTCCTTTCATGTCGGAACATCAATGTCACCGTGACAAGAACAAGAGATATCATAGCAGGAACGATGACTAATACAAGTATTTTGTTTCCCTTTGTTTCCCTTCTGCTATGAGTTGCACTACTACATGGGGGCAATCCTTTCACCACACCACACAACATTTTATTATGCATGAACAATTGGATTGAAGCTCCTTGGAAGAGCTTACTCTCCGGGACTGGCCCTTCCAATTCATTGTAAGATACATCAATGGATGTCAAGCTTTTCATACTCTGAAATGATGACGGGATGGAGCCATTAAGTTCATTGTGTGAAAGATTCAGGGTGTCTAGCACGACAAGACCACTAAGTTGTCTTGGTATTGCCCCACTAAATGAATTATCACTTAAATCCAATAGGTCTTGTAAGTTGCCTAATAACCCTAGTTCAGAAGGGATGTTTCCTTTGAAATTATTGTGATTTAACTTCAAAAGACGAAGCTTCAAACAATGCTCAATTGAGTCTTTTATTGAACCACTTAGGTTATTTGATGACAAATCCAGCAACTCCAGACTTGACATTTCTCCAAATTCCCGTGGAATGCTTCCATGGAGCAAATTGTCCGTGAGGCTCAGGTTGAACAATTTTCTTAGATTGCCTAGTGCACTCGGAAGCTCTCCTTCAAGCTTGTTTGATGAAAGATCAAGTAGCCCTAGTTGAGATAGTTTCCCCATACTTGCAAGTATTTCCCCCGTAAGGTTGTTGTTTGAGATGCGTAGCATCGTAAGGTTATGACATCCCCCCCCCCCAGTGATAAGATAATTGACCAAATAGTTTATTTGAGCTCATATCCATATAGACCATATTTGGATAAAGCCCCATCTCAGAAATATCTCCTTCTATTTGATTCCTTTGAAGGCGAACTCTAACTAGGCTTCTGCAGCTTGCCAAACTTGATGGCAGAGGTCCATTGAGATTGTTGTCAAATGCAGCTAATGTCTCGAGCATGCCACCAACACACAAGTTAGGTGGCAAGGCACCGAAGAGATTGTTACTATAAAATTGAAGATCTATGAGATCCATTAAGCTACCAATTTCTGGTGGAACATGTCCAGAGAATTGATTACCACCGAGGTATAAGACAATGAGCTTGGTCAAATTTCCAAAGCTATTGGGGATAGATCCCATGAGTTTGTTGTCGCTAAGGTCCAACGATTCTATATTTACCATGGAACCTAGTTCTCGAGGAACAAGCATGGAGAGTTGGTTATAAGATAAGTACAAGGTAATGAGATTGGTCAAATATCCAAAGGTATTAGGGATGGAACCCATGAGTTTGTTTTCACTAAGCTCCAACTCTTCCAGATTCACCATGTAACCTAGTTCTCGAGGAACATGTCCTGAGAGTTGGTTATCAAATAGGTGCAAGGTAGTGAGCTTTGTCAAATTTCCGAAGGTATTGGGGATGGGGCCTATGAGTTTGTTTCCACTAAGTTCCAATTTTTGTAGAGTCACAAGGGAACCTAGTTCTCGAGGAATATGTCCGGAGAGTTGGTTATCCCATAGGTACAACCGAATGAGGTTAATCAAACTCTCAAGTGTATTGGGGATGGAACCCATGAGTTTGTTGCTGCTAAGAGCTAATTCTTGTAATCTCACTAGGTAACCTAGTTCTTGAGGAAGTAATCCGGATAACTGGTTACCATCAAGGTACAAGATAGTGAGTTTAGTGCAATTCCCTAGGCTCCTTGGAATGGTGCCTGTGAGGTTGCTGCTGGAAAAATCTAGCCTGGTCAGCTTCTTTAGGTAGCCTACTTCAATGGGGATGTGACCAAAGAAGTGGTTTTCTGACAAAACCAACCCCACTAGACTCTCGAGGTGTTTTATTTGCCATGGTATTTCACCGGAGATTTTATTTCCCTGGAGCAGTAGGTGCCGCAGGTTTGGCAGGGATGATGCTAAAGCGGGTGGAAAGGGGCCCCTTATCTGGTTGAAGGGGAGCCGGATACTCGTGAGAGTATGCAACACCGTGAAGTTGAGGGCGTCCAGCCTCGCTCTCAGCCGCAACCCCCGGAGAAAGATCTCGGTGATCACCACCTCTTGGCGCCTCGCTCGATGCTGGCCGCACTTGATGCCGTACCAGCCGCATGGCCGTGTTGTGGTGTTTCCCCAGGACTGGAGCTGGGCTGGAGGGCTTTGGATGGTGGCTTTCCAGGCGAGGAGGGCTCCTGCATGTTCTTCCAGGAGGGAGGGAGGTGGTGCCGCCATGGCTTGCCGAAACGAGGCTAGCAGGATAGCGAGCAAGACGAGCTTTAGGTGAGGGGAGGTCGCCATGGCTAGTAGCATGGTTTTGTTCCGCTGGAACTCCATGGAGAGTCTCTTCTTATAGAGGTTGATCTCTATTGGCGTACCTGTGGGGCCTGAGGCGAGAGAAAGCTCCGCGTGCGGCCGGAGACTAGCACTTTCATGGAGTCGTCGGAGGAAGAAGACGAAGACGACGAGATTCCATCCGTGGAATGGTATTGCCCGGACTGATGTATGCCGTGAAGGGCTGGGCTCTCGTACCGTCCATGCATATGTACGTGGAAATTCTATTACTTCTGGACGGCTGATTTTTCAAGAACTAACTGTGTCCACGTATAAAAATCTTCATATGGGGTGGATATTTTGGACTGGTAAACGGCGCGTCAAGTTGAACGGCGCGAGAGAGAGGGGACGTGCGCCGAGGTCTGATGAAAAGTCATCTGGTTGATTTTCTACTGAAAAATACACTGTCTTTGTTTGATTTTCCACTGAAAAATACACTGCCGTGCCGAACTAGTGAGTGATATGTTTGGACTTGACTCGAGGCTAGACTTAGAACAACTATATGGTGTGCTTCCGTTTTGGCATCAAGCTGATCCAAAATAATCTTTCGAACATTACATCTGCAACATTGGTATATTTTAGTATTACAAAAAAAATTCAGGAAAAAATGATTTGTTCTGAAAACTGGTCATGATTTTATAAAAAATGTTTTGGGCAATAAGTCCTATGTAAGCAGTGCACTATTTTTTATGAAACATCGACATAGGTGCATTGCCAAAAACAATTGTTTCACTACGGCCCAACACTATGAGCCATGCAGAGCGGTGTGGACATGAAAATGTCACTGCCCTAACATTATCGGCCATGCAGAGTGGTGCGGAGATAAAAATTCGTCACCACCAAAACTCACCAAAATATACGATCTCGACCCATTATGAAAACATTTCAAGCATAATGCTCACAAAATTCACGGATCATAATTTCCACAAATATTCTTGAGATTAACATCATTTTACAACATAGATATAATACTGAAAATTAGATCATTAACAAATGACACCAATATTCATACTACGTTAAAAAAATTCTACAAAAACTGATTTTCCTTATCCAAAAAATTAATATCATTAGTCACAGAATTTTGGGCATTTCTTGTCTAAAGGTCAAAACCTTTGAAAGCAGAGAAAACTATTTGAAACTAAAAGACACATTTTGGCTTAGAGACATTCACATCGTTATATTATTGTTTTCTGTACATTTTTGAGCTAATTGTTTTCTGTACATAGTTAGGGAATTATTTACTAAATTTGGAACAATGTCCATAAAATAGCAAAATACTCTAAATAGAGAAAATGTAGTGAAATTAAAAAAATCATTCTGGTCCAAAAGCAGGCCTTGGCCATGAGGAGAAAAAGACCCGGCTTAGATTGCGAGCCTATCAAAGCCGAGCCCATTCTCGCCTCTGCCCACAATTCTCCTGGGATCAGTGGCGTGAGAGGCGACGACGGCTAGCCGAAACCATGAGGACACAGCTGGCTTGTTCGCCGGGGCACGCGTGCAGAGATGCGCGCGGCTCCGTCGAACTCTCCCGACCACGTCACGACCATGGTCCCACGGGTGGCGGGAAGGATGCATCGATGCCGGCCTTGTACAAAGGATCGACGGCGTGGCGCACGGCATCCCTGACGCCACAGACGATAGGGCACTGGCCAGGAGCATGCGGGAGAGGTGGCACGCATGACAAGGAGGCCACGCGACGCATTTAGGTGGCAAAAATCACCATCCTGGCCCTTTTCCATAACTTAAGCACGATCTAACCCCACTTTGGAAAAAATTCACAATTTGACCCTTTTTCTACCGCCGTTGTCTTTGGCTATAGGGTAACACATCCTACCGCCAAGGCCTTTGGCTTTAGGACTCATCATTTCCAAAATTATTCTCAAGATTAACATCAGTTTATAGCATTAATATGATACTGAAATGGATCAAGACAATCGTTAACAGATGACACCAATAAGGACAACACACTTCAAATCCCTAAATAAAATGTATATTTTATCCAAAAAACTTAAATAATCAATAATTCCTACATCACGACTTACAAAAATATCAATATAAAAGCCAAATGCACCGCCAAATTTTTTGTTTCATAATGGCACAATATTATCGGTCGTGCAGAGCAGGGTAGAAAATCAAAATGTGTGACCACAAAAACTCACCAAAATACATGACCTCGACCCATGATGAAAATATTTCAAACAGGATGCTCTTAAAATTCAAGGATTATAATTCCAAAATGTACTATCAAAATTTCCATCATTTTACAACATTAATATAATACTAATGTGGATCGAGATAATCGTTAAGAAACGACACCAATATTGATACCACACTAGAAGTCACTAAATAAAATGTATATTTTATCCAGAAAACTTAAACATCGTTAGTCATATATTTTTGGCCATTTTCTGGCTAAAAGTGCATAAAAACATTATCATAGCAAAAACCTTTTAAAGCGGAGAAAGCTGTTTAAAATTCAGAAAGGCCCCAAAAGACACATTTTGGCTCGAAGCCCACTAGAACGTTCACAGCATTATATATGATTATTTTGTACATAGAATATACTTTTACTGAATGTAGAACAGTCAATCTAATGAAATAGAGACAATGCACTGAGAGTCGAACAAACAACCAAAATTACAGTCTGCTCTAAAAGCAGGCCTTGGCCCACGAGGCAACCTGGGCTGGCCAGCCGGCAAGTGGAGCCCATTCTTTCCTCTGGCCCCGATTCTCCCGGCACCTGTGGCGTGCGAGGCGACGACGGCTCGCCGGCAACCATGGCGGCACGGCTGGCCTGTTCGCCGGGGCGCGCGTGCCTCGATGGCTCAATGCGCGTGGCCCGGTCAAACTCGCCGACCGCGTGGCGACATGGTCACAAGGCTAGCGGGGAGGATGCGCTGGTCCCGGCTGGGGATCGACGGCGCCGTGCCCGGCGAGCCCGAGGCCACGGACGAGAGAGGTGGCCCGCACGAAATGGAGGCCATGTGACGCCTTCAGGTAAGTTCCCCCAACCCTCTTCCTCTGAATTTTCAGTTTGGGAAATGGTGTAGGGTTTCGGAGATTGGGGATTCGTAAAATGTGCAAATTTTCATTAGGGTTTCGGAGATTGGAGATTTTGAAAGAAATCACCTACATTGTGTCATGATTGATGAAACGAGTTATGGAAACTTGATTAGGACTTTACATTGATCGTCAACGAAACACAATGTAGGGATAAACGAGGCGATTCGCACTAGCCGGAACGTGATTACCAAGAACTTATGGTGATCGGCATCTTATCTTATTACTATATCAACCAACCAGAAGCAATCAGGCCTATCGATTAGTTAGATAACATATATTAGGCCTAATAGGATCTGATCTGTCTGTGACTAGGTTGGTTCTGACACTAATGTTAGCTCTTACTTAAGGATTAACGTAGTTACATCCTAATTATGGTCTAATAAAACATCTAAAAGATACGAGTGCAGAGACAGTTCGTATGTTATTCCCGTCGGTGGATTGATAAAATTCTTGGTAGATCAATTTAGGCATGCAGATTCAGTGCTTCGGCCCAGATGTGGAGCATGGATGGATGAATATATCTCATAACATGATAACATACAAACGTGCATACATATAAAAATATGCCAGAACTAAACATCTGAAGAATTTACAGAATGAAGATCGTTGCAATTGCTTGAGGTTTTTATGTATTTGGAGTATCATGCATGCGCCTGGTTAGTTACCCCTCTAATTAACCAGACTTGGTCTCTTAACAAATTTTAATTTGTGGCTGGCTAGCTGTGCACATTTAGTTATTTCCACTCTTCCTGTTCTTAATTACCACCAAAATAGAGAGGGCTGGCCTAGCTGCATTTACAATTAGTTCTTGCTTCTTGTCCTTGTCGCGCCTTTGCCGACTTGCGCTCCTTGTTAGCGGTGAAGACCTTGGCCGCGAACTCGGAGAAGGCGGCCTCGTCCATCCCAATCCGCCGGTTCTTGTAGCAGCTGAAGATGTCCGGGTTGCCATCGGGGCACGGGTCACCGGCAGGGTCCCACCACGAGCCCTCATGCCGCATCCCCGCGCGGCTCGCCATCCACCGGAACACGAACTGCCCGCCCGCCGCCCGCTGCCTCCACCCCATCGGGTAGAACTCCATGATGCTGCTGTTCCGGTCCATGAAGAGCAGGTTCGTCATCTGCGCCCCGTGCGCCGAGATGAACACGTCCGTCCTGCTCAGCAACCTCACCTTTGTTTTCACCATACCAAATTAACAAGAGGTCAGAAAACCATGCGGTTGTATATGTGATGTTTTGAATCAGTAAAATTAGGTACCTGGTCGCAGAAGGTCAGGTTGTCGGAATGCGCGACGGTGAGCACGCAGCTTGGCCCGGCCACGCGCGTGCACTCCTTCTGGAACACCCGCTCGACAGCCGCCTCGTCCTTGAAGGACCGGCCGCCCGTGCGGAAGAGAATGGTGACGCGTAGGTTTGTAGTTTCATTGCCGGCACCGGACGTGTCGACGACGCCACACTTGGCCCTGGCCTTGCACCGGATGAAGTCGAACGCCTCCAGGAGCCTCTCCGTGCTCAAACCGGCCAGGTTTCTCCTGAAGACGACGGCCTCTTCGAAGCACACCGGGACAGTTCCAAACTCCTCCGCAGCCACCGGCGCACCGGTAGCCGCCTCGGCCAGTGACATCAGCCACCCACTCATCCCGGACCTGACCTCGCCATGGTGGAAGAAGGCCCACTTCGCGGGGGCGGGACCGCACCCGCGCCTTGCGTGCCACGACACCAACGGCACCAGCGACGTGAGCCCGTGCCACAGGTTGGAGTGGTCGTAGAAGGTCTCGGACAGGAGAGCAAGGCCCGGCCGGAACTCCGCGCCGCGGGGTAGCGCCCCCGGCCACGCCAGCGCGTAGGCGTTCTTCGTGCCGTCGCGGCGCGAGGGGGCCGCCAGGCAGAGGAGGCGGCCCGCGGAGGCAGCGGACGGAAACTGAAGGTTCCTCGCCTCGCCCGGAGGCTCGGAGGTGTCGTTCAGGGTGCTGATGAACCACGTGTCGGCGCCCTCACGGGTGTCCTTGAGCGGGAGGAAGGTGGCCGACGCACGGAGGCGGTCGTCGACGCCATTGCCGAGCCTGCTGGCGCATTGTACGGTGAAGAAGAGGGTGAGGGTCTCCAGGTGGAGGTAGAAGAAGACAGTGAGCAGGATGGGAGGGGTGAGGTAGAGCACCTTCCTCGTGAGACGGCTTGGGCTAGTGTTGGAGGACTTCATGGTGGATTGGTGTTTGTCTGTGAGACACCCCATTAGTGATGCCTAATTAGGTTAACTGGTGAGCAGAGTGCCCATGCATGCGAGCAACTGGCATGCTTTTATAGTGGCTGTACTGGGAAAATCACACATTGACCTCAGGATAGTTGTATCCTGTATGCATATTCTACTGAAAGTGAAATTCTGATGTTGCCACAAGCCAAAGGCACTACAAGAAACATGTCAACTTGCGACCATCACTATTGGTCGCTGAATGGTTTTGGCACATGCTATAAAGATGGTCATAATCTGAATAATGGATGTATATATCCAAAATCAAATTCTTCATCGAGCAACTAAACCATACCTTCCCAACTACTGAAAGGTCTCATGGACACACATCGCCAAGTTAAAGATCTTTCTAGCTTTCTTTCCTCTGAAAAATGAATTTAATGCCAGTTCATCGGGAAAAAAATGGATTGGAGATCTCATACATTTTGGTTGACAATTTAACAACGACACTACACATAACAATAGATGTAAATATCCAAAATCAGATCCTTCATCAGGCAACTAAACCATACCCTCCCAATTATTGAAAGGTCTCATGGACACACATCGTCAAGTTAAAGATCTTTCTAGCTTTCTTTCCTCTGAAAAATGAATTAAATGGGTGTTCATTGAAAAAGAAATGGATTGGAGATTTCATACATTTTGATTGACAAGTTAACAAGTATACTACACATAACAATACTGTCACAAGAAATATCATGTTAATATTAGCCGGGGACATTCATCATCTTAGGAGAAAAAAAATGTTTGGCCATGGAGTATTCATCTCAGTGGATATATAGTGGAACGCTTTAAAATTTCTTGTGGTAACATGCATGACGCTCACTAATGCATGAGCCTGGTACTTAAGGTAGCATACACTTGACAGTAGCAAACTCTTTTACATCCAGATTCGCCTTTCTTTAATGTGATAATTAAGACTTGATCTTCAGTTTAATTGAGCTAATAATTTATGTAGCATACACTTATCTTTCAAACTGTCTCACTTTTGTGTCTTCCAACTTACAATTTGTTGTTACTTCAATTACTGAGCGAGCTAAATTAAGTAGAGAATCAACCTACACCAACAAAATAAAGCTACTTGAACCCAAGAACCATCAAGACCAGCTGGGCAGTGTGTTAGTTTGACGGGTAAAAAGGATGAACACCCCGGAGTAGCAGCAAAGCGAGATAGAGAGAGATAGAGAGAGACTTGGTCAGACCTAGCAGCTACGGACGGAGTAGCAGCGAAGCAAAGTGTAGCCGTTTTTACAATTCAGAGTGCTCCAATAGATACTCCCTCCGTCCGGAAATACTTGTCCGAGGAATGGATGTATCTGGATGTATTTTAGTTTTAAATACATCCATTTGTATCCATTTCTATGACAAGTATTTCCGGACGGAGGGAATACATAGATAATGCATGCTACCTTCGTCGACAGGAAGGAAATCGACCGGGCTTGAGTTGCAAGCAAAGCGATATCCTTGGATTCTAGCTAGCCCAGAGGAGTAGGGGTTGACAATGGTAGCTGGATAAGCTAAACACGCACGAGTTTTGTGGTGGCAATGCTGCATGCAGATCGAGCAACTGGTGGTAAGGAAACTCCTCTTGCGTGCTGCGAGATAAAGCGTAACGTGGGAAGCAAACAATGTGCTCTAGTCCAGTCAACCGGAGTATTGATTTCCCCCTCTCTGCATGTCTGTCCTATCACTGATTGAGCATGTGATCTTTGTTTAAGATAATTGTAGTACGTGTTTAAGAAGATACTTGCATTGCTTAGACAGGCAGAATCTGGATCTGCACTGTAAGTTGAACTTTCTCATGGCGCAAGGGCGATGAGCCGTACATATTTTTGCAGGTAATATAACAAAGTGGGCGCATTTCTCAGGAAACACAAAGGCTGATTGATCAACAAGTTCAATCAGCAACCCCTGGCAGGTAAGGGTATATCATCGTTTCTTGTTTAGCAGCATCTCACAGACGGGTGGGCCCAGGAACGGGCCATGTCCGACCCAAAATTACGGCGACAGGTCAGAACTGGTAATCTTTCAGTTAACGTTATCTTTTAGGTCGTCTCTGCATCAGAGGGCGCTGCTTAAAATTGTATTCGTTCAAGGTTCTGACCGATTGCAGTGTGAAGTTATCTACAACTTGATGCAGCAGGGCCTTTGATTAATTCCCTTATGCTTGAAAAATCATCATGCCATTGCCATGCCAGTTCTGTTGCCCAATATTCACTTTGATTTGGTCGATTAATTCTGTTCGGGAGCTTAGATCAAAGTAGTAGATGACGAGTTTATTATGGGTTTTTAGGCTATGTATGCTAGTTGCGTGTGATCTTGTTTCACATAATTGTAGTAGGTGTTAACAACAGCACATGTCTTTCCTCCTCCCCAAGAAAAGTCTTCTTCCTCCTCCCGCCGGCGCCTCTGATGGCCTTTGGGCCGCCGTGGTGCGGAGGATCTTGGCCCCCCGCCGATGACGGGATGGACCCCGCTCTCTTTTTTAATAGGCTCGGTGTCTTGGTTGGGACTAGACCGTGGAATGTCCATCAGTAGGAATGTGTCCCATGTCCAATCCCCGTCCTGATGGTTCGTCTAGTGTCGTCGAAGAGCGTGTAGAGGTGTCTCCATCGGATCTCACGAGATTTGGTCGGTGCTTGTCTTCGATGGATCTATTTGGATCCAGTTTTCGTCTGTATGGTTGCACGTTCGATCCTTCCGATCTACGACTCTCTTCATCGCTGATGGTTGCGCTGGTCCTTTGTGGACATAGCACCACAACTTTCCGACTGTCTAGCACAACAAGGTTTGCCCGGCCGATGCTGATGGCGCGCCTCGCCTTCGGCCCGCTCTAGTGCTTGTAATCATTACTAGGTGGTCAATGAACCTGATTGTAATCTTTATTATCTTTGGTGTTTATTGTATTGGTATCATTGATTATGAATAGATCAAAAATTTCTCTCGGTAAAAAGAAATGGGAAGATGCTTATTGCTTAGACAGGCAGGCTGCCTGCTCTGAGTTGAATCTAGTTTGGTTGGGCATTGGTTGGTGTGGTTGAACTTTCTCATGGTGTATGAACTAGTAGTATGAAACAAGAGCCGAGACAATGACAGATTTGTTTTTATTACTTCGCATTAAAACAATTGGCTGGTGGCAAGGCAACTTAGAGCTTGGTTTCTTTCAACTAAGCATATATGAGTAGGAAAAAATCGTGTTCAAGCACACACATAAGACGGTGAAATTCATTTGATTTTAGAATTCGGTTTGTTTTCATGACCAGTATCCAAAATATTGAACATAAAGCCTTTTTTTTATTTCTCGAACTTGATATGTGACAAAATTTGATTGGGCTAAACAAGTAATAGTACGATGACATGAGGAGCTAGCGCATAGATAGATACATGTTGTGCATGTAATGTAGTAACTCAGAGACTCGATATCACAAATGTTCAAACGACCTTTTATTTTATCTTTCCCTCTCCTATCCCTCGATGGCTACGGCAAGCAAACTCTCCCCCTCAGGCTTGGCCGGCGAGGCTGTCGGTTCGACGATGGCCAAGGGTCGGACGTAGAAGCCGATGGCGTGGAGGAAGTCTCCAGCGCGGCAGAACATGCCGACGAGGCTGCCACCGTCGAGCACCGGCAGGCTGTGGTGCGCGCCGTCCCCTCGGCCGAAGGGGCCATAGGTGGCCCCCTGGTTGGTCACAAACTTGAGTGAGGTGACGCAGTCATCGATCTCCTTGAACTCGAACGGGCCCACCGACCAGGCGACTTGGGTTACGTACTCCGTGGGCCCAAGGGTGATCTGCGAATTTTGGAATAAGAGATAGATAGATAGATAAACAATTGAATTTGAATTTGAATTTGAAAGAAGAGAGCTGACCGTGTCTTCCTCTACGCCTCCGGTGCCGCCCCAGGGCCCGGCGGTGTGCAGCTGCCCGCCCTCGTCGGTGTAGGTGAAGGCGACGGAGTCGATGACCTTGCCCCTGCGGACGACGATGCTCTCCAGCCGGTGCGGCGCCGCAGCCCTGACGTCGATGTCGTGGGCGGCCCCGGCGTCACTGCCCCATGCCCCCAGCTTCACCACCGGGCTCGGGCTCTGCACCTGCACGCGCACACAGACACAACCAGCCGCCATGAGCCCTCCTCCTGTGAAGAAGATGGCACAGCACATCATGCATGCTAGGACTTGGGCAGACCATTTCGTTGACGAACTCTCGCGCGGCCGCACAACGAATGAAGCACCGGTGGAAATGAAAGTTGATCAGGCAGGCACTTGAATGAATTTTATATGCAGCAAAAACACACGAGAGGAGAGTAGTTGGTTTGGGTGGATGCGCAGCCTCCACGTCTCCTCCTACTCGATCGTGGCTACTTGGAATTATGAGGATTTAATTTGTTTGTTGGACACAGAATTTAGTGCCGACTCTGATGTTTTTCGATGGCGGTGGTTTGATCTACTTCCTCACCGACGTGCTGGTCTATGTGGACCGCAACTTCGAAGACTTCCCGTCTCCGGTAAATCCGTCTCCAGATTCAAGGTCGGGCAGGCTCTGAGGGAGCAGCAATGACGGTGCGCCTTCACTTCATGGTGGTGTTGTGGTTGGTCGGGCTTCGTAGGGGCCCGATTGTAATTTTCTTGTTCTGTGAGTTGTCTTGTATTACTGTTGTTCTTTAATATAGTCCTGGGTGATTTTTGAAGGAAAAAAAACTAGAATTTTTGTCCAAAAGGACCACCTGGCCAACGGAATTGACAATAAAAGATCACCTCTGAAACATATTAGCAAAAAGGACCCACAGGGCCATGGCGGCAGGCACGCCAGCTGACACGTGGCACCTGCCACCACAGTGTGAGGCAGCAGCCCCCGCCGCCAGGCGGCCAGGCAGCAGGCTGCAGACCACAGGATTCCCGCACCGCGACGGAACAAAGCCCTGTCGGTGGCCCTGCCGCCACCAGACGAGGCGGCAATGCTGTTGTTGCGGCGCGCGGCGCGACACTGCTGGAGCTGACGGTTGGTGGTGTTTGACGTTTCTGCCGACACCGATTGCAGTGTTTTGGATCACGCGTATTTCCCGCCTAAAATTTCTTCCATTCGCCCTATTTTTTCGCCATCAAATTTGTCATCTTAGCCTATAAAACGAGGCATTGAACCTCTCTTCATTCATCGTCCAGCCACCCTTGAAATCGCCACTGCGCTAAGTGTGTCACGCTTTATTTAGCCGGTATGAGTTCGCCTTGCTCGGATCAAAGCATTAGGCCGAGGAAAATGAAGAATGCGAGTTTGCCCTCCGGGGATGGCAATCCTGCGGTGTTGGTGTGGCGATATTTGCAAGGTGACGGATTTTTAACAATGGTTGGGCGTGAAGTTTTTCATGTGCGTCAATTATGAGGAAGATCCACCCATAGCTAGTTCACCGTATGACAAGCCTCCGATGTGCTTTAACCATCATGAATTGACATACTATTGGTTTTTGGTTGATTATGTATTAACATTCTTGTTCTTGTTGTGGTCTCCCCCACCTCTGTGCATGTACTATCCTTGGATTGACACGGAGATGCCGGCTTGGACAGTGACCGAGATTTGTGGAAGAAGTCGCCGTGCATGGGATAATTTCTACGCGGAAGAGCGACGCGAAAAGGCGGCAGCAGAGGCGAAAAGATGCTTACTGCTTGGACAGGCCTGCTCTGGGTGCAGGAGGAGGGTCTATCAATTCTCTTATGCTTGAAAATTTATTAGGTCACTGTTTGTAGCCATCGCTAGGTGGTCCATGGACCTGATTGTAATTTGTATTATCTCTGGTATTTGTTGTACTGGGCATGATTGATTATGGATAGATCGAAAATTTCTCTCACAAAAAAAGAAAGAAGAAGATGCTTATTGCTTAGACAGCCAGGCTGCCTGCTCTGAGTTGAGTATATCTAATTTCCCTGGGTATTAGTTGGTGTGGTTGAAACTTCTCATGGTGTATGAATTAAGAGCCGTGACAATGATAGATATTTTATTATTATTATTTTGCATCAAAACAGTTGGCTATGATCCGGTATAATTGCAGCAATCAACAGCAAAATATCTCTCTGTGATTCCATAGGATCTTACATTTCTTTACACAGGAAGTGATAGTGTAATGACATGAGGAGCTAGCGCAGAGATAGATACATGCACATCATGTGCATGTAATGTAATTCATATACTCGACATCGCAAACATTCAAATGGCCTTTTATTTTATATTTCCCTTTCCTATCCCTCGGTGGCTAGGGCAGGCAAACTCTCCCCTTGAGGCTTGGCTGGCGAGGCCGTGGTGGATTTGACGATGGCCAAGGGTCGGACGTAGAAGCCGATGGCATGGAGGTAGTCGTCGGCGCGGCAGAACATGCCGACGACGCTGCCGGCGTCGAGCACGGGCAGGCTGTGGTGCGTGCCGTCCCCGTTGCCGAAGGGGCCGTAGGTGGTCCCCAGGTTGGTCACGAACTTGAGCGAGGTGACGCAGGCCTTTATCTCCTTGAGCTTGAACGGGCCCACGGTCCAGCCGACCTCCGTCACGTACTCCGAGGGGGCCAGGGTGATCTGTGCATACAAGTATATATATCAAGGATTTTCCGGGAATTCCGCAAAAAACAATATTCTGAGGAGTTTTGGAATAAGAGATAAATAAACAATTAAATTTGAATTTGAATTTGAAAGAAAAGGCCCACCAGGTCTTCCGACACGCCTCCGGCGCCGCCCCAGGGCCCGGCGGCGTGCGGCTGCCCGTCCTTGTCGGTGTAGGTGAAGGCGAGGGAGTCGATGACCTTGCCCCAGCGGAGGGCGATGCTCTCCAGCCGGTGCGGCGGCGCCGCGGTGACGTCGATGTCGTGGGCAGCCCCGCCGTCGCTGCCCCACGCCCCCAGCTTCACCACCGGGCTCGGCCCCTGCACCTGCACAAAACGAGCACCTGCCATGAGTCCTCCACGCCTGCCGTTCATGGGACTATTTCTATGACACACCATTTCGTTAGCAAACTCTCGCGCGGCCGCACAACGAATGAAGCAGAGATGGAAAGGAAAGTTGAGCTGATCACTCATCAGGCAGGCACCTGAATGAATTTTATATGCAGCAAAACAGACGGGAGTAGTTGGTTTGCGTGGATGCGCGGCCTCCACGTACGTCTCCTCCGACTTGTGCATGCATGTGTATCATACTCGATCGTGGCTACTTGGATCGATTTATGAGGATTTAATGTGTTTGTTGACACACAATTTAGTGCTGACTCTGATGTTTCTCTTGTAATGTTGCCCGTGATTATAAAGAGTATCATGCATGTCATATACTCCCTCCGTCTAGGAGCATTAGCCATCTTAGAGCAACTCTAGCAGACCCCGCAAAAGGCTCTGACCCGCAAAATAACCGCCAAAATACGGGCAAGCGCGGAAAATCCCGCTCGAACAGACACCGCATCCGCGTCCGACCCGGAAAATTTTTTGCGGGACGCGGCAAAAGATCTCCTCCGACCTCTAGTTTCACGGGGCGGGAGCACAACCCGAGCTCGACCCCTATCTGCAGCGGGATTTGGCGGGAGGGACATTTCTGAGCGGCCATTCCCGCTCCTCCCACCCCCGACCACCATTGCTCCCGCCACCTCCCGCTCCCGTTCATCCTTCCCGGCGTTCAGTTGCCGTCATGGATGACACCTTGCCATCCCCTGTCTCCGCCAAGGTCGCGCACGATCAATCCCCTTGGGCAGATCTCGTCGCCGGCCATGTTGGCCCCGCCGTCGCCCAAGGCGCCACCGCGGCTGCCCGCAAGCGTCAGGGCAGCGTGCTCGTGCAGGGCGGGAACCCGGCTGCCCCCGTCGGCAGGGCCCGCACTCCGGGCGCCAACGCGGCTGCGCGATCCCGGCCAGCGGCGGCAAAGGTCGCCAAGGTCCCGGGTGCAAAGCGGAGGAAGATTCTGGCTACAAGGCGGTCAGCTACTTCATCCACTCCCTCCGGCGATGAAATGGGTTCCCCTGCGATCCCGCTCAACGGTGCTGCTCCCACCGTAGCCGATGTGTTCGACGAAATGGGCGCAAGGTATGGCTCGGTCATCCGTTTACTCTTCGGTCATGGAAATAATCTTTGCTTTCGCGATTAGTTCGTGACTTGTTGTCGTTCGCTATGGCGGTGGTTCGAACGCCGAGTTCGTGAACTTGTTGGACACCAACGCCGTTGACATCGATGAGGCCCTATTCGCCGCATTTGAGTACAATGAAACAGAGGGCGGCGTGGATGATCATAGAGGTGAAGATGAATTGGAGGAGATTGATGAGTTGGCGTATGAGAAATCGCAAGTAAAGAGTGGAAAAGGCCAAAGATCAAAGAACTGCACGATCTTGGAAGACCAAATCTTGATCAAGGCATGGAGTGTGGTATCTCTTGATGCATGCACGGGTACTTCTCAAACCGCCAAGAGGTATTGGCAAAGGATCGAAGATTAATACTTCCGCATGATGGCAAAGTATCCCAATAGGACTCCACGCACCTTTCGGTCTCTCCAAGTGAAGGAAATATGCCCTAGAGGCAATAATAAAGTTATTATTTATTTCCTCATATCATGGTAAATGTTTATCATTCATGCTAGAATTGTATTATCCGGAAACATGATGCATGTGTGAATACATAGACAAACATAATGTCACTAGTATGTCTCTACTTGACTAGCTCATTAATCAAAGATGGTTATGTTTCCTAACCATAGACATGTGTTGTCATTTGATTAACGAGATCACATCATTAGGAGAATGATGTGATTGACTTGACCAATTCTGTTAGCCTAGCACTTGATCGTTTAGTATGTTGCTATTGCTTTCTTCATGACTTATACAAAGTTCCTACAACTATGAGATTATGCAACTCTCGTTTACCGGAGGAACACTTTGTGTGCTACCAAACGTCACAACGTAACTGGGTGATTATAAAGGTACTCTACAGGTGTCTCCAAAGGTACATGTTGAGTTGGCATAATTCGAGATTAGGTTTTGTCACTCTGATTGTCGGAGAGGTATCTCTGGGCCCTCTCGGTAATACACGTCACTTAAGCCTTGCAAGCATTGTAACTAATGAGTTAGTTATGAAATGATGTATTGCGGGACGAGTAAAGAGACTTGCCGGTAACGAGAT